GGAATTCTGGGAGTTGGAGTCCACCCATCTGAAAGCTGTCAAGGTTGAGAAACACTGCCTGAAGGTGTGGGTCCACTTCATAGACACTTCTATATCCATGTTGTTCTGGAGGACAATGGCTGCTTAACAATTAGGAGCCATTACTCCAGATTCAGGCAACACACTGTATTGTTCTTGAATTATAGTAGCCTACTATAGATCTCGGTTAATGATCATGGGTAAAGTATTCCTTCTTAACTATAATCTGAAACTTGGGTTTGACCAATACATGAAAACAAACAATAACATGTCTGGAGGTTGAGTCATGGCAACTGGACTTCTTTTCTTTTTAGTAGAACTTCTTTTTTTGGTTCTCCCAAAAAGAAAAGAAGTCCAGTTGCCATGACTCAGCCTCCAGACAATTCCACCTGGATGACTGAGAATCTTCAAAAACAATAGCATGGTTGTATGTCCATTGCTTACAGAATTCTGGGGACATTAAGATGGCGGCTTAATCTAGTCACTGTGGTTCTCTCTTTTGACTAGCTTTCGAGAAACAGACTGTGTATGAAACTAGCAAAATTGTAACTAGGGAGGGACTGCCTTGTGCATTTGAAATTTAGCACATCTAAAAGGCACCAGGGCTGATTAAAACAGCATGTAGTTCTTTATGACATGGATTGAAACCTTTTCATGCACTGAGTGCTCCCCCAACTTTTTTGAATCACTTGGAATCTTGCAAGATCTCACGTGAGAACGCAAAATGGTGAGACTTGGCAATCTTGTTTGATTAATTTAGTCTTAAAATGATTTAATTCTGTGGATCATAACTGGTGGCGTCATACACACTCAGGTCCTGATTTCCGTTCAATCAGTAGATTGATCACCATTATAATTTATTTTCTTATCTGCTTTGCCATTTAACCCAGGTTCGTTTCTGGGCAATTCAATAACAGCTGTTCCATCAGTTGTGTTTGACAGGACTCACATCAGCATCTTCATGTTTGTTGACCCCGTGAAAATAGAATGGTTTCCCATTAATGAGGAACTGGTTGCGAGCCACAAAGATGGTACGGATGCCAACTGGCTGCACGTAGGTGTCTTCAGAGATGGTGCCTTCTACAATGGCAGAGAGCGTGACCTGTGATTTGAAAAAGCCATCCTGGATCAATTTTCTGAGGTACAAGTAGATCTGCTCAGTACTGATACCCTCCTCATATATCAGTAGTCCCAGTCAAAGTAACCCAAGATAATCCATCATTGTGCACCCTGTTTAAATGAGATGAATTAATGTAAAATGCTTTTGATCTTGGACAAGGGGCTGAAAATTACCCCTATTTTTCACTTCTTGAAGTCTCACTCAACTTCACCTTTGGCTCCACATTTGCGAGCCCATTTTTGAAGCTCTATGAACTTGATTGGCCCTTAGTTAAAACACAGTGGGATTCTCAGCCTGCTGGATTCCATCCTGGCGATTAATGTTCGCTGTTGTAAGTAACGCAGTAAGCAGTGTATATCACTGCTTATTAATGGAGTTTCTTAAAAACTGTAATGGCAATTCTGGGTTTATTTATTTTATTTATTTATTATTAAATTTGTATGCCACTCATCTCCCCCCAAT